TTATTTCCTTGCATTTTAAAAGTATACATATCATGTCATCATGTGTAGTTACATATTTCGAAAATGTAAATTTTTAGAATCAAATTTAAAAATACTAAATTAAATTAGTCGATTTTATTTTTAAAAAACTTAATATGCAAATTCATACATACGCGTTCTAAATCCGTCATGATAGTGACTATTTGCAAACGCAAGATATTTTCAATAAATGCACACTTTGTTATATATTTGTTGTATAAAATATAATAAAAGTAAATAATGATTTGGATACCTTGTATTGATTCTGCAACTATGAAACTGGAGGAGCTGTTTGTACTTTTTTCACTCTCTTTACGTCATAAATACATTTCCATCAGGATGTTTTTCTTCCAATTTGCAATACTTTTATGCTTTTGAGACTTCATGGCTTTGAAGAGCTTTTTCCATCGAATTAATATTAATTATAATTTCGCATTATTCATATAAATAATGCATTCGTACTAATTTTAGGCTCCGGAGCAATCCATGTAAATAAGCTCATAGGATGGTTGATATTTTATAATGCTTGACTTAATCTTAGGCATGATTCTTTACTGAAAAATCACAGATAATGATTATTAAGAATAGAAGACTTCTATACACGTAGAAAATTCACTGTGTATTTTTCATTGCGACTATTGTACTATAAATCACAAAATCACTCACGTCAACCTAAGAAGAGTTCCAAATTTTTCGAACATCTGATTGTAGGAGCAGAGACATCTGATAGAAACCTGAATTTGTGCATCACTTGTTTTAACAAATGAAACGCGGTGCGCCAAACGACTAAACAGCGGCGAACGGAAAGAGTGTCGGTACACTGCCCATTGATAATTCGAAGGATACTGCATAGCCCTGATTTATCGATTTGATTTATCTATAGGATCGAGAAGATAACGGAAGTTTTCTACAAATTATCAAATTATCAAATTATTTTGTGATTAATATATCATACCGATAAGTTAGACCTACTGTAGGACTCTTCGAATCATTGATGGGTAGTTTTCAAAGTAAATTTCCGGTTTTTCCTCGGTTTTTTCTATTTCCGGTTTTCAAGGATTCAAGATTCGCTAGCCTGGAATAATATATTAGGTATAGTAAAAAGAAATCCATTATTTTTGCATGAAATTGAATAGAAAAATAATGGATTTCTTTTTACTACACCTAATAAATGTTTTCTTGAAAATGTTTCAGATAAGTTTTTCGACTTCAAGGGGAACATAATATGGTATCATTGGTTAGATATCTTATTTTCAATTTTATATAAAAATGAATTTTCAGTGCAAAATTGAAAATAAGAGAAACAATCTCCAATTAAGCTAACAAATGTTATCCAGGACATGATCCTGAACAACATTCAAAAGATTTTAGCTGTCGGTCGGCGTAATGCTAATACCGATAATACTGTAACTTTCAAGCCTTATAATTTAAAAAGTACTTAATGGAAAAATATTTGATTATAGTATTTTGAAAAACTCTCGAGATAAACTACAAGAATGGAATGAAAAATGGGGATTTCATTAAAAAAATTTTACGTGACTCTGCCCTGACCTTAATAATGCTACCTAAGATCTATCCAATAATATTATGTCTCCCTTGAAATCGAAGAACTTTTTTGTCTAAAACATTTTAAAAAATGCAATTTTTTAAAAAAATTAGCCTGATAAGGTGGCTGTATATATCCTGTATATATGATAATTATTGTGAAAAGGTTAAACTTCGCCGATGACCTTGTCCTTGACATATGATGTCAAGATCATGATCCTGAGTAACCCTAACAGGTTTTAGATCGCTATTTGTTAAAAGTTATTAACAAAAGAATTTAAAAAAATAACATCTATTTTCTACCATATATAAGGTCTTTCAATAGGGATGCTCGAAATTTGTTAGATCATAGTAGCCATGTTGTTAAAGTGACATCTGTCAAATTTGTTGTGAATTGTTTAGTAGTGTATGGTAAATCATCATGGAAGGTCATAGTTTGAGCAACTTGTGCAAAAAAAAAATTTTATCAAAATCAGTGCTCCGGTCGAGAAACATTCCGCGCATTATGTTATTTTTATCCTCGTCACAATCGTCCTGCCGAATGGACTATTCGACGTTTGGTGGCCAAATTAGAGTCAACCGGTTCGATAAATAATCAGCCAATATCAGTACGTCGCCGAAACGCAAGCTGAAAACATCGCTACTGTGCGTGAGAGTGTACGGGAAAACCCGAGGCGGTCAATTTTTCGTCGTTCATAAGAACTTGGCCTTTCTGCGACTTCAACTTGGCGAATTTTGCGTCGGGACTTGGGCCCCTATAAAATTCAACTGACCCAAGAACTTAAAGTAAACGACCATAGACAATGCCGTGTGTTCGCTGATTGGGTTTCTGGAGCAGTTGGAAGTTAATCCAAATTTCGCCAAATAAATCTTTAGCGATGAGTCCCATTTTTGGATGAATGGATATGTGAACAAGCAAAATTGTCGAATTTGGGACGATACCAATCCATGCGAGATAATCCAGCTCCAAATACATCCCGAGAAAGTCACTGTTTAGTGCGGATTTTGGTGGATCATCGGTCCATACTTCTTCCAAAACGGCGAGCGCTATAGATCGATGATAAGCAACTTCTTGTGGCCTAAAATGGATGATATGGATATCGATAACATATGATTCCAACAGGATAGCGCTACGTGCCACACATCGCATGTCACGATGGACATTCTGCACGAGCGATTTGAGGGCATGGTTATCTCGCGCGGCGACGACGTGAACTGACCACCGAGATCGTGCGATTTAACGCCTTTAGACTTCTTCCTTTGGGGCTATCTTAAATCGCAGGTCTATACGAATAAACCGCAAACAATTGAAGCTCTCAAAGCAACATAACAAACGCCATCCAGCAAATTCAGCCAGATTTATGCAAAAAAGTCATCGAAAATTGGACCGCCCGAATACGTGTCACCAAGCGAAGCCGCGGCGGACATTTGAGCGACGTTATATTCCATACTTAATGCCATAAAATTTTTTCACATAAAAAAAAAATTGAGTGGATATCTCACACACAACTTGTTTTATTTACATTTAAAAATCGAGCGTCCTTATTAAAAGACCCTATGTAAAAACAAAAATTCTCTGCTTTGAAAAATTCCTTACTTTAAAAACAAAAATTTTTTTTCAAAATGTTTTCTTATCATTTTGGTTATTATATAGTAGCGTATAAGAACGATTTTATACGCGAAATGATTTTCACTCTATCTCTTTCTCTCTTTGGGGGTGCACGATTTTCACCGGAAGCAATCCCATCTCTCCCTTGTTTAAGAACGCACGACTTTACACGAAAGAAGTTTTATTAAAGTAGGAGAGAGGGAGTGGAACAATACAAAATGAGATTCTACATAGATTTACAATTTTTGTTATAGTAAAAATAATACGTTTTTTTTTAATTTATTGTTAATAACTTTTTAACGAATGGCGATTGTCTGTCTAAAACCTATTGGAGGTTATTCAGAGTTATGAGTTAACAACATATATCAAGGTTATCGGCGACATTTAACTTTTTCGCAATAATTTGTGTGTGTGTGTATGCACGCACGCACGCACGCACGCAAAAGGTATCAATCCGGGCAACCTCCACGCGGTACTTTGAGTAATACTAATGCCGACGATATTAACTTTTAATCTTCATAACCTGAGATTTACTTAATCAAAAGATACTTTATTATAGGATTTTGAAAAGAATATTGGCTATTACCAAAATTCTAGAATAAGGAATAGGATGTTTTATTAAAAAAAATCGATGTGACTTTAATCTGACCTTGGCAAAACCATTCAAAATCAAACTGATATAATCAATAAATAGATCTTTTTACCCCACAACTTTGATCTGAACATATTTTTGATTGGATTTTATCCTACGGTGATAACAAGGGTGGATTGTGATCTGAGATACCTTGTATATACACTGCTCAAAAAAATTATGACATAGAAAAATTGTGGGCAAAAATTGACGATAACTTTGCGAAAAATTATTGTAGAATAACGTTTTTTTTTAAATTAAAGCTTGAAATCTCTACTTTATTTAAGACGCTATGGCCAGATTTTAAATTTGATGCAATAGTAGTAGCCCCTGCTACTGTAACTCTCAAAAATATGAAGGCGTTTGTTATATTGAAAATGCAATATTTGACGGAATGCACGGACTTTGTAAAATTTTTTTAGGAAATGTTGTTTGCAGTGGCATAAAGTTAGAACTTTCCCATTTAATTAAATAAAAAATGAAAAAAATAAAAAATCGAGCTGCTGCGATTGTTTTCGCAAAGTTACGGCACTTTAAAGTTACCCTTGCAGTTTTGACATATGTTACCCCGACATTACCTGCATCATGAGATTGTTGAATGGATTTTGCACGTTTTTCTGCAAGTGTATCGATTTTGCACATTGTGTAAATTTCATAATACGTGTTTCCTCCGTGTGGCTCGATTATTGCTTGCAATCGATTCCTCATATTAATGCAGGCTCATATTAATGCTTAATTTCTTCCTGCGGATCATTTCAGATTTGTACTATCATTTCAGATTTGTACTAGAGCTTGTGACAAGTCTCTGAGATTGATAGATTGTCTTATCAAATCTCTTAATTTATGACCCATTATCTAATACAAATCAAAAACATGCAAAATTCTAGCAACCTCGTTGTGGTGCATATTCGGTAATACAGATAATGTCGGTAATATATGTCAAAAATGCAAGGGTAACTTTAAAGTGCTGTAATTTTGCGTTTTAAATTAGAAATAATACGAATTAAATTAGAAATAATACATCTTTTCGAGAACTAATGTTTATAAACAAATAGTATGTATTGGGATATTATATTTTAATATTTTTAAAGGAACATAATTTCAGAAATTTTTTTTACATAATTATAACTTTGATTGCTTAGATTCAAAGTTTACAATTTTTATTAATCATGTTCAATTGTTAATTTCGAAATATTAACGATAAACGTAATATTAGCCTGATTCCGTAGAATTTGTTATATTCTTTTTTGTTTTTTTATTAATCATTTTATTATATTTTAATTTAATGCCATATTTCCGTTTTCGTGGAAGCGATGTTGGATCTATAATAAAAATGTAATTTTCTTTTATTATCAATAAATTTATCTTTAACATATTAACATTGACACGTACGATCCTCAGGAATATTCATCCTTTTTCTCAAAACAGCTCGTACTTGTTTATTTAAAATTTCTCTGCACTGTACGTCAAAATCAGTTGGCAGCCATCCTCTCTTTTCATGACATCTTATACCTGGTAAAGGATCAGGGAGTTTTGCCAACATTTCCTGTATTTCTGCTACTAAGACGTCGCAATACTAACAAAACAAAAGAAAAACAGTTTATAATAATATTTGGAATCAACAGCAGATCGAATTAGATTAATTTCAAAACTTTATTTTAAATTATTACAGATAAATATTACTAAGGTCTTGGTAGTCTAAAGGCTTAGGATGCTCGCACGGAAGAGATCCGGGTTCGACTCTCGGCCGAGGTAATATTTTTCACAATAAGATAATTAATTATTTACAAATTTTAATATATCAACATTATTAAGATCGTTTCGAAGATGCGAATAAGCATAAAAAATTTATTAAATTGCTAGTCAATTTAACTCGTGATATTACTGCGATAGTTTAGTAGAGTTAACGTTTCAAGATCGAAAAATCATTTCGCATTTCTGAGAACTACATATGTAGTATATAAATTCACACAAGAATCAACAAGCATTAAAATCCAGCTAGAGCACTTAAGGCTTTGAATTCTATAATTTGTGTTATCACATATATGGTTCTATATTATATTGCTATATTTTAAATTTTCTAGAAATGCTTAGAATTTAATTATTTGAGAATGAAAGTTGTATTCGAACTAGAAAACATGGCCCGAGATCTTGGATGGAGAAAAAATTAAGATCGCACCGTTGATTAACTGGTCGAATTGCTCAAATGTGATTTGTTAATTTTTTTCTCAGTCCGAGATCTCACAGCGATTTCAACAGTCTGTTTTCTGTTCCCCTATACTGCATTAGAATTCTCTTTCTCGCTTTCGACAATCATCAGACATATTCTCATTTTAAGTTCTAAAAGTTTTATCAAATATTAGTTCTGTTATATACACTAATTCCGTATCTGAAAATAGACCTATAGAATTACGGACATAAAATTTTAGACCTAATTTCAAATAAGAAGAGAAAACAACAGCCAACGATAAATATTTAAAAAAGAAAAATATTTTTTATATTTTAAGTCATAATACAAAAATGTCGAGGCTAAGATAATCTTAAAATAAAAAAAATTTAAAAAATTACAAATTGTAACAGGACTAGAATTTTGCATGTTTAGGAGTGATAAGATAGTCAGTTACGAAAGTTTTTCGAATTTATTTTTAGATTTTATAAAATGATATATATATATATATATATGGTATAGGTTTATGTTAATGCCGTTATTTTTAATATTTTTTGTAAGGGTATTAGCTGAGTTGAATCGTAGATAGATTTTGTAGAAGAGAAAGAATTAGTTTCAGGATTTAATGTAAAATATTTTAATAGGGCTTAATAACAAAATTCAGCACTTTCACACTGATCTTGCCATCTTTAAGTGCTCGAAATTCTAGTCCTATCATTCATAAATGAACTTTTCTGTTTGGAAATTATACCTCAGCATTTTCGTATTAGACTTTTTGTTTTAAAATATTACGAATTTGTCTTTAAAATATTTATCATCAATTTTAGGATATCCTGTACATAAAAACGGTATATTACAAATTCTAATTAACAATAAAATTCTCGCATAGCGAAAATGGACTGAACTGAGTCGAAAAGTCCTCTCCCATTTTGCAATTTTCGCAATAGTTAACAAGATATTAATTACTAAAAATTTCCGAATATTGATCTTCAATAATTTTTTACTCAAATAATATTAACTTTACAGAAAAACAGCAAGAGACAAAAATTGTTATTTTTTTCTTATAAAGCTCTAAGAATTTTTTCAGAATTTTTAAAGCAACTTTTTATTGTATTGCATTTTCATATTGGTAACTTTTTTTCATATTGATATTTTCATCAGCAGATGAGGAAATACGGTATTAAAAAACAAACTTATCTTTTTAAAAAAAAGATACTAAGAATATGTGCTTCTCGAATAAAACCTAAGTTTCCAATCCAAATAGTAGTAGTTTTTAGTTATTCTTCAAGGGTATTCTTATTGCAGATCTTATTCCAATCCAAGTAATGACAACTTTAATTCTCTATCAAAAATTACTCCTTGGAAACTAATGTACTAAATGAAAAATTAAAACTCAGATTCTTAATCAAAGTAAATTCTATCAAATTAAAAAATAAAACCCAAGTGGTACTATTTTTTTATTTACTTAACTCTAATGATATATATCATTCGTATAAAATATTTGATATCAACAAAATTGGCACATTAAATTCCACAAAATTTTATGTAATATTTGTAAAAAAAATTTGATATCAACAATTGGCGCCAAGTTTAAATTCCAAATAAACTAAATAATTGTAAGTTGATTCACAAAGACTTAATAATCACAAAGAAATTGAATAAAATAGGGCAATAGGAGTTCAGGCGCGATAATTGTTGTGCAAAACAATGTAAATACAATACAAAACTCTTTATTAGATAATAATTTATTAAATAACACTTACGTTTCGGTTCATTTTTTAGCCATCTTTAGAGACAAATTAATATTATAATACCTGCAAACTAATTCATTCTAATGAACTATCTCGACATATTTACAGAAACTTTAATATTGAAAATTACTTTGATAACAATTCAAATTGTGTTCAAAATTTACAGAATTAAATTGTTAAGAAACAGAACGAATTTAATATCACAATAAGAAGAAGGAAACTTACTACAACGAGAATTCACCAAATAATTAAGTTCTAAATAATTAATTTAATCAAAAACTAGTTTTGACTAGTTTTTGTCAGCGAATCAGTGTCAAAATTGTCTTAATCAGTGAAATAATTCTTAAATTTATAATTAAGAAGTTATAATTAAGAAACTTTTTTTTTGAAAAAACAATTTAATATCGATTGTAATCTAATAGGAAATAACAATTCGAAAGTTTCTAAATAGAATGATCTTAATTCAATAAAAGAACGACACTGATTAACAATTCAATAACTTCGACATTTATAGCCCATTAACAATCGAAAAGTAAGCCTTGGGAAACTCCTTTATATCCGTCTAAAAGTTTAGACCATGTGTACTTCCTGACGTACAGCATTTTCGAAACTAATTTCTTTCTGTACTGAGGTTCTTCCAAAATTACAAATGTTTTCCCAATCGTACTCGTGGCCCTCTTGCAATCGGTGATCAGTTGACGGATTGTATTCCACCGAATGTAATTCCTATGCTCAGCAATTCTCCTCCTTAACTGTCTTCCCGTCTGTCCCACGTAACTCGCATCGTAGTCTTTACAACAAATCTTATACACTACATTCGATTTCATATTATTTGCGAGCGGATCTTTATGCACTTTAATGAATTCCCATAATTTGTTAACATTATAAAATGATATCCTAATATCATCGCTGTTTAATCTATTAAATTTTTCGGAAACAGGGTAGGAACAGTACATAAGGAACAGTAAACCATAAAGGTCTTTCAACAATTTCCGCGTTATCGCTGTCCGATTTCTTACTTTTAAACTTAATGTTTTTCAGACGGTTATTGATATTACCAAAAATCATCAAAATGAAATTTAAGATTCGAAAACAAAATTACTCTATGAACCGAACCAATAATCATACCTTTTTTTTGAGAAATCAGGTGATGAGACAAGAAATTTAAATATCTACTCGAAAATGTTGGTTTCCGATACCAAATTCAATTATATTATTATTGACATCTAAAAACTTCAATCTATCGTCATCGACCTCCATGAATCCTTGGATGTTGAAAGTTAAAAATGTTGAAAATAGAATTAATCAGTGACAGGTGCCGCCTATGATTATATCATTCATAAATCTAAAATAAAAAGGTAACGATAACTGAATTAATGACAAAGCTTATTCATTAAGAAGTCTTTGCAAATCAACTTATATTTAGTAATACGCAGGCTGTAAATATGCATCCTTCTCAATTTTCATTTTTTCAATTTACTTGGTCCGTTTTTGAGTTAGAATCAAATTGCTTAAGTTGTGGATTAGGTTATGTATTAGGTTAAAAAGGGGTTTTACGTTCTAAATTCATTAAATAATGTATGCAAACAACCCTGCAAAGTTATATAACTAAACGCAGTTATATAACTGTTATTTTGCTGTACTAAAACGAAATAACAGATAACAAGTAATATAACGTGTTGATTATATGTAACATATATGTTAGTTGTAATGAGTTTCTTCATTCACTGCAAATTACAATTATATACAATAAATATAACAATATAATAAACGTTATATAACTGTTGCACAGTTACAGAAAAGGTACAGAATAATTATATAACATGATGAAATGTATATGATTATAATATAAATAATCCCAATGTTATGTAATTTATATATATTTTATTAGAACAGATCACACAAAAGACATATAAGCTATATGTAAGTATTGTGTAAGACCAGCATCTTATATAAATCAATATGATATCTTATGTTGAATGATTCAACGGCCTTAATCTATGCTCATATAGTGTTTATATCGTTTTATGTATGATAATTCTTGAGAACTTTCTATAATAAGCTATTACTTCAAACGATAGATTAAAAAAGAATTATTTAAAATTGATGCTACAATCTGAGATACAAGCAAAAGATAACGCTGGGTTATAATATAGAAATACTCGGATGTGATATTGAGGGTTAAGACACTGGCAATGATTCAGTATAATTTTTTTTGTTTAAACTTTGATTCTGCTCTCTATTCCTTTTAATGTGAATAATTTCAGATACCAATCTTTTGTTATAAGAAGACTATTATTAAATCTAAAATCTTCACATCATTCCATCTGAAATTATGATTAAAATAATCGGATATAACAAATGGAGAACTTCTTTTATTGATATCCGAAATGTGTGTAATCTAGTACTTAGTTTTTTCTTTGTTTGGCCAATATAGCTGGCGTCACAATCATCGCATGAGATATATATAACATTTATATATAACATTTTGATTCGAAAGCAATTCTAACTTATCCTTACCTCTCTTAATAAAATTTTTTAAGATATTGATAATTTTTTAAGGTGATGATGAAAGCTAGTTTATAATGTTAGAGATAGGTTAGAGAAAACTTTCTGAGATGAAATGTACATAGGGAATTTTGAAGAAAATAAATTTTT